GGGGTCCCAATCGTGGCATCCCCCCGCCCTTCCGGGCTTGTGCTTTGGGATGAAGCTGCCAGCTGCCCCCGAGGCCGCGAGTCCCTGGGGAGGCAGTACCTGTTAGTCAGTTCCTCTGCTTCCCCGGGGTCCACAGCCTCCTCCTCCTCTTCTTCCTCTTCCTCCTCCTCCTCTTCTTCCTCTTCTTCCTCATCCTCTACGAAGGAGGAGGTCTCAGACGCCCTGTCGCACTGGGCGCCGCGGTACCCCTCCATGCCCTCCCCAGCTCAGGCCCTCGCCGGTGATTTTTACCCCCGACCCTGTCCTCCCCAGGGTAGCCTGAAGCAACTGTCATCCCCAGCAGCTCTCGCTTCTCCTGACTCAGGGCAGGCTTTAAATAGCAGGCAGCGAACTCACAGCGCCGAGTGGCTGCTGGTCCCACCCCAGGCCCGAGCACCAACCGGGTGCCAGGACACGTGGTGAAACCCGACGGCCATCTCTCCCTCTGCTCGTCCCCTCGGCCTGCCCGCCGCGTGTCCGCGCAGTGGGGACGGGGCAGCCCGGCGGCGGCAGGGGGAAGGGGCTGCGGCCCCAGCAGGCCGTCTCAAGCCACCCCTTGAGAATTTGGGGTGGACGGCACAGGGGAAGAGGAAGGAGAGCTTTCTGGTGGGCCCCCCCAAGAAAGGTGCACTTAGGGCGTTCAAAAGCAAGTCCTGACCCGGAGAACACTCGGAGCACCTCAAATTTGAGCTAGAGGTGTCACATACACCTGCTAGTGGATGAGCCTTGGAAACACACCTTCAGTAATCAAAACAGTACCACGAGAGGTATCAGATGCACAATAGTTTTTAACAACACACAGGAAACATATTTGAAGCCCCAAATTTGTCAACGTGTTAAATCACTGGACATTCCAAATTTCCTCTTTGAGTGGAGCCAATTTGCATTTAAAGCAAAGACAAACTACATTATCATGTAGGTTTTAGGTTAATCCACATTTACTGTTTATTATTCTGCATTTCTCACAAAATGCGGTGCTTTTCACAGACAAAATGGACATATTTCCAAGCTGTACTAGCCAAAGTAATGGCTGCATTTAAAATTACTTTTTAGAAGAGGGGGAGAAGCACCGATTTGATTCTAAATAAAGAACTGGCAAGTTATTTCAGGTATAAAACATTGTATACACAGTATAAATCTAATCCCCTTTTCCTTTTCATTTTTATTTTTCTTCAAATATATAACTAGTTATAGATCAGTCAGCAAATTCTTCCTTGTGTTTTATGTACAGAAACACCCAAGCAGGCATTTGAGTACAAGCTTTCGCGGCAATGCTTAATAAAAATTCTACTGACAGATTCAGTTGAAGTAAAATATTTCCTAAACAGTACATACAGATAAAACCTGATGGCTCTCTTGACCTACCCACTAAGGTACACAATTTACAAGGTTAGGACGTAAGTTCTCAAGAAGTGTACCTGAAACAGATATTAACTTAAACTCCAGATTTTATCATGAGCACAGAGACAGTGTACGCAGCACAATGAAATTTAAGGTAGAGGACTTCACATTCTTTACACTTGGAAGACAAGAGCATCACAATCTTCTAGAAATGCTTATATATGAAGCATACATATGTTGCACAAGTTTTGATTCAGCCTTCAGCATAGCAAGAAGGTGAGTACCCTTTTACCAGAATGCCTTCAAATTATTTCCAGACCTACCGGTCTTCCTTCTGTACTTAAATTGACCTGTACGTTGACCAAAACAGCATATTCTTTCATGCTCTTCCTACAACCATAATATGCTGTAAAACCAATGAGGGGAAGATTTACATCAAAACACAAAAGGATTAGAGAAAACAAGACAAACCTAACAAAAAGAAACACTACAAAAGACATGTGAGATAACCCAGAGCAAGTAGAGTCCATTAAATCAAGAGTGACATTCTCTGATGGACTTAAATTTAACACCAAATATACTGTGAATTGAGTCCAGTGACCCAAGTTCAAGGAAAGCATTGGTTCCAAATAAGCACTTGGAACAGTATTCACAAGCACTAATTTCAGGTTATCTACAAATCATCTTACATCCTTTTATCATGTCGGCCCATTTATCTCAAATAACCATGTCACCCTTCAATTTGAGCCTTAAAATTGGTTTATATTGAATTCTTTGTAAGGGAATTCTTAAAAATAACCTCTTATACTGTCAGAACACCTTAAGGTACAGAGAGTACACTTACACAATCACATTTTAGGAAAAGTGAGAGCAAGAGAACTAGAAGAGAAACTTCAAGATTCACAGTGTACAGCCTATGCCGGTTCTGGCACTACTGTTGCCAAATGGGAAGCTCTCGCTAACATTTGGTCCTCCTGTACACCTCTGAACCTGTTAATTAAACACACTGCTAGAAGACTAAAGAGAGTTCCTAAAATCCTAGACAAGACACTAGCAATTTCTGACATTATATAAGGTGAGAAACGACGGGCAAGCCCAATGCCAAAATGTGTAGTCAAAACTAGACCTAAACAGAACTGAACTAAAGCATTTTTATTTCAACGCAGTAAGAAGCCTCACAGAAGTTAGCATCTTGCACACACACTGAAACCTTGGTCAGCCATGAAAAACACCTTTTACCAAAGGTCTCCCAGAAAAAATATTCCTACTAGGGCGTACGCTAAGGGATAGGGGTGTGAAGGTTTTCATTGTGAAGTTGAGGAGACGGGAAAACTTCACACTAAGATTTATGATAGCCATTAGTGGATTTCTCACTCTGGATACCTGCCCAGAGTAGATGAAAATCCAGGTCATTAAACCTCTGAACAACTTCAGACTACACAGAACTGAATCGAAAGTTAGTTAAAGTTCAGCTCCTACTCACACTCCCCAAGCCGTTTATTTTGTGGTATTTTATCTGAAGCTTTCCGATGAGAGTTGCAGCCCACCATTTAACAAATATAATTGTTTGTTCAGTGTTGTTCCAGTTGTCTGGCACTTCCATGGAAAACGGTACTGCTTGTTTGCCTTGACAGAAGAATAATATGATATGGCATCTGGTGAAATTTGTTTTCAAGACCTCTCAGATTATTTTTTAGTGTGTGAGAGCACTGCCACTTTCCGTGCTCTCGCC